AGAATGCCAAACTTCTGCCCTCCTCATAAAGCCACCGAGAGACTTTAGACAAGGAACTAAGCTTGTCTACTCTGCATTTTATGAAGAGAATCTGTGTTGTAGCCTAGATGATGGGATGGAGGCAGGAAAGGCTGGAGGTCCAGAAGCTAGTTAGGTGGTGACATCAGCAATCCATGAAATTGCTGTGAAAGCCTGGATTAAGGCTATGACAAGAACAGGAGAGAGCTAAGTTAGGGAACATACTTTAAAAGCAGAATTGATAGGTTTGTGACTAATTGTATCTCAGAGTGATAGAGGGTGAGGTGCCCTTTAAGTCTCTCTGGTTTCTTACTCAGCAAATTGGCAGATTAAGTTGGCATTCACCTTGGTAGGGAGAAGAAAGAGTGGAGGTAGGAGGGAGTAGTCGCAGGGCAAGGCTGAGGTTGAGGTAACCCAGGAAAGTGCCCTGAAAATGGAGATGTGGAGCTCAGGAAGAGCTCTTGGCTAGATGTAAAGAGTTGGGTCACTGGAATATTGGCTTGGTTGATCCTAGGTTTGAATGGGGCTTCTTAGTGTGCACCGGGTGAGATAGGCTGGATGCCGTAAGGGATCGACAGTAGACAAGAATAATGCAAAGAGACAAGGAGACACAAGTGAAACCAGAAAGGATGTAGTGAGGAAGCCAAATGGTAAGGAGAGAACTCAATATCTAAGGCTGGAAAAAAACACAACAATGTGTAGTGGGTAGCCATTCCAGCTTTGGTCTGGAAGTTCCAACCCCCACTGAGGCTTCGGTAACTATCATGTCTACAAGGCGGGGCGAAGGGAGGGCCCTGAAGATCGGGATGCACAGCGCTCTCTTCCTTCTTGGACTGTGGACGCTAGAGGTAGACTGAGGAGAGTTCTCCAGAGAACACCACGGGACTGCGCTGCATCTTTTCCAGAACCCACCACCTACCTATCCCTTACATTTGTAAGTTACCCACTAAATAAATCTCCCTTTTAACTACGTGGAGTGGCCTTAATAATTTCACCAATAATAATAGGGAATGATAAGGAGAGCAGCCTTAGCATTTGAGAGTTTGAATATAATTGCTAACCACAGGAGAGCAGATTCAGTGGAGTGGAGGGCTGGGCTGGGCCTGTTTGAAGCTTAAAGTGAGTCAGATTGTTGAGGGTTGGATTGGACAGCCACCATCAGGAAGTATACATAGGGAGTGCCCAGGACTCCTTCAAGGAGCTAAGCTCTGAACAAAGGCTGTGAGCCACAGGGCAGAAATTAAAGGGGTGGAGGTCTCCAGAGAAGCCATTTTCTCAAAGTGGATATATGCCAGAAAGAGGGGAGGGTAGAGGGAGAGAGAGAGGAAGAAGGTGAGGGAGAAGAGAGGGAGGGAGGGAGAGGGGGCACTCAGAGCAGGTGACACAGAGGTGACCACTGAAGTAGGTCCCCAACATCTTTTTTGTACTCCTTCGCCATCAATTGGTGGATGTCCCCGTGATACAAATCTCAAGATTGATTCAGTTCACTGGGTAAAGAACACTTTCTACATATTTTTTGTAGTATGCCAACTGTGGCAGGTAGTCCTAATTTTGTTTTGTTTCACATGTATTTATTTAGGGGAGGGTGGGCTGTGTTGTCAGGCAAGCACCCTTACCTGCTGAGCTCTCAATGGTCCTGGTGTTTTAACTTGTTACATCATCCCCCTGATCAAAAGCAACATCATTCCGTTGTTTATAGGAAGTAAAATAGAAGTTCATTCACGCTTTCAGAGCCTGCCTCAGATCTTGGCCTCCCTGCCCTCTCCAGCCAGCCAGGCTGTTGGGTCGATTCCCCACAAACCTGTGTCGCTGTGCCCGACCTACCAGCTCATTTGGACTGCTCTCTACTTCCCTCCTATGGAGCAGCTGCCCCGCTCCCCCACTCTTTCCTGTTTCTAGAACAAGGAAATCCTTGGCAGCCCGGCCCCCAGACATCCACGCTTGTCCTGGGAATGCTCTTTTCTTAGTACTTGGTGCCACTGACTCCTTATCTGGCAGGTCCCAGCCCAGATCTCGGTCATCTCGTCTGATGAAAATAGATTGCATACATGAGGCGCAAACATAACACTGCTTGCATCCTCTTAAGTAGTGATAATTGAACTTATTCATTGTCCTTTCTCCGTCCTCTCATAAAGCAGCAGCTCCTTGAGGGCTCTTCTCATCCCCTCCCCCTTTTCTCCTTCCTTCCCTGTGTCTAGCACAGCGCTTAGACAGAAGCCTTGGAAATACGTTTCCTAAATTAAGGAATGAACAGCTCCTCCAGTTTTAAAAACCCAGTTTGAATGCCACCTCCACAGTGAACACAAATAATAGCTCCTATGTCTTGCGCTCCCTTTCTTCTAGCTGTTACTATGCTGCATTATCTCATTTAATGGGCCCCCTCCACTTAGCTCCCGTGACTCAGAGTAGTTATAACCCAGGCCACACACTCCAAAGCCACCGTCAGCCTCTTGCTTGTTTTTGTTGTTGTTGGGGGTATTTGTGTTTTGTTTTCCCGGGCTGTGGATTGAACCCAGGACCTTGCACATTCTACTCTACAGCAGCTAGAGGGATGCTCCGCCACTGAGCTACACCCCAGCCCTTGCTTTGTTATTTATTTCTTGCATCACTCTTGTTTGCTACAGTGCCAAGCTTAGTATTCCTCCACACCCCGCACCAAAGCCCACAGAGCGCTCAAAGGATGCTGAGAAACTGAAGATGCCCTCAGGGTAAGGCGTCTCTATTACGGCAAAGATCAACATAGTGTGAAAGCAGTATATTTATTCAGTAACCGCTGAGGAGAAGAAAAGGCGGGTTCATTCAGCCTGGGTGCTTTGTTTTGTTTAGAGAAAAAACGAGGGAGTGGGACTGAGGAGAGAACCCGGCTTCAGCAGTCAGAGAAGTGAAATTTTAACTAAGTGTGAAGGGAATGTAGCCCATGTGAAACTAATCTGACTTTGTTAAAGGCTGCCTGTGGCATTCAGGCTCCTACCCTCCCACGGAGGCTGGGGGATGGCTCCCTGTGGTTGAGTGTCAGCTAGAACAAACAATTCTTCGGCAGCCTGGGTTTTTCTCAGGCATTTTGAGAGAAACTGGGTACTAGAATGTGGCCTTGAGCTGTGGTAAGCCATGCAAGTGTTTGTTTAGACCCTGACAGGCCAAGGTTGAGGCCTAGTTGAGAAGCGAGCTCAGAGGAGCCTGATTAGGGTTTGATCAAGAACATCTTGATGGATTAAAAACTTCAAAGAGAAAACCATTGGCAAGTAGAGGAAACCCTGTTCTACTTGTAAAGCTGAGAATCACAATGGAAGCTGGCTAATTGGAGCTTTCAGGTTTTTGAGACATACTGTTCAAGCTCACTATTTTCCAGAATTTGCTACAATCTTAACCTGCAGAAGAGAATGATGTGATCTTTCAGGAAAAAAAAAAAAAAGTCTATAAAACTCAAGTTATTTCTCACCAAGATGTCAAAAGAAAGGGTTTCTAGCATTGACTTTTAAAATGTCTGAGTGTTGTGGGGTGCTGTGCTGGGGCCCTGCGAAGTTGATAATTTCAGGAGCACCCAGGCAAGCCTGGGGAGCCTGGGATCTCCAGAGATAGGAGGATAAGATCTTTATGAAGCTCCCCTAAAATCCCTCAATGTGGTTCGGAAGTCCTACTGTGTATCTCACCTTCAGCTTCATTGCCACCCACTCCCACGGTCTGGGGCTCAGATCAAGAGGCCCACTGCCCTCCAAGGAGTGCTCCCATCACTATAAAAGATGACATCAGGGAATCTGCTTCTATTTATACCAGTGGGTGGGGCCCTCCCCAAGGTTGGCAGTGAACCCAGAGTCCCCACCCAAGAGCTCTTACCCAGCACTCTGTCCCTAAGAGTCATTCCTGAAAACACCTCAGCTCCTGAGTACATCTAAGAGTCCTTTTCTCCTTGGGTTCCACCCTAGAGCAGATGTGTGCAGTCTGGAGAATGTCACCCAACCTGTCTGTCTCTACCTGACAGGTAAACTGGAAGCATCAGTCCCACCCGCTGGGTTTCCTTGGGGAGAGCCTCTTTATCGGAGAGGGTTTTGACTTAAGTAGATCTCAAACTCCACAGACCTAGCTGTTTAGTGCCACAGACTCCGGGAGATACTGTGTTTTTCGGCTCCTTCTGTGGCTCCGCAGGTAATTGGATGCCCTGGTTGCAATGACACACAGTTTCCATTCTAGCCCTTGAAGTTCCTTCTCTGATAGTTTAGCAATGATCTCTTTGGCCACCTGCCTCTTTTGCCCTGGAGTGAGTAGCTTGCCCTCCCCCTGTCTTGTCAGAGTCCCCATGAGTTAGGAAGAACTCTCGCCATTTCCTGCGATGTGGTAACACAGCTTCTTTATTTAGAGCAGAGCCACTGTGGACAGGGCTCCATCAAGATGGTCATGGTTTGCAAAAAACGCCAGACTCTCAAGAGTTCTTAAATGTACAGCATCCCGGACTGTACCTTTCCCACGGAAGGGGAAAGGAGACACACCGTGTTCTGGTCTTATAGGAATGGCTTCCGTTAGAGACAAGACCTCACATTCACCCTGGTCTCCAGTTTAAATCATAACATCTGCAAGGGAGACCGCAGCATCCCTACGGTGTGTCAGTGAATCATTTACCAGCTGTGAAGAAACAAGTAAAATACTCCACTGCTTAATTTTGTTGTTTGTTGGTTTAATAAGTCAGGACAACCCCCTGCTCTAATAAAAAAAAAATTAAAGTTTGATCCAGTCCCAATTTCTTGGAATTGTCTGAGGGAATCGGAGTGACAAATGTGACGTGGAAGGCGGGATCTGAGCTGCAGGAATTCCGGGGCTGGCTCCGGAATCTCCGGGATTAGCCTTGTGACAGGCACCTCGGCCGCGGGAGAGCTGGCGCTGGGCTTCGACTAGAGACCCTGCGTGGGCGGAGCCTTTGCGCGGGGTGGGCGTGGTCTGTGCGGCGGACATCGGGGCGTGGCCTCGGCGGGAGGGGCCAGTGGGAGTGGCTAGTGGTAGCTAGGCGCCCGGGGCGGGAAGGAAATGCGCCGGCTGGAGTATGCTACGTCCGCAGCTCCCTCCTCCTCGCTACCGGAACTGTGGCAGCAATCCTAGCTAACTGCTCAGATTTTGTTTCTTTTTCCTTTCCTCCGCTCTTCCCGGAAGGTGAAAGGTCCAATCGTGGATAGACTGACCTCCAGGACCCAAAATCCACGGCCACAGGGGCGCCATTGTTCTCCGGATTCATTTGTTAAAGCTCTTTTTGGGGTATGCCTGTGTGGATGGTTATCCCCAAAATGAAGAGTGAGTGCGTAGGCTCTGGGGTTGTAGCTCAGTGGTAGAGGGCGCTTGCCTAGCTTGCACGAAGCCCTGCATTCAATCCCCAGCACTGCATAAACCAGGCGTGTCTGTACATGCCTGTAATCCCAGTACTGGAGGAGGAGGCTGGAAGAGCACTAGTTCAAGATCATCCTCAATTACATAGATTACGGCCAGCCTGGACTACCCGAGACACTGGAAAGAAACTGGTTTTAAACTGGTTCTGAGTTGGTATTTCGTGGGAAGGAGCCTCACAGAAGGCCTCTTTTTCCACCTGCAACGCATAGAGCTTGACAGAATCCTGAAACCCTGTTTTACCCTCCTAAGACTTCTGGATGACCCTCACCCCCATTAAACACCCTGAAAACTTATTTTTATGTCTCTTATAGAGCCTTGGCTCTGAAGCGAGCTTCTCGGGGTTAGCGGGTGCCGCAACACAGCCTCTTAATGCAGTGTGAATCCAGTCCAAGGGAAGAGGAGATCCCGTCCCTCTTTTGGGGTTTGGATCCTGTGTTTCTAGCCTTTGCAAAACTCTACATCAGGGATATCCTGGAGATGAAGGAGTCCCACCAAATATCAGGTATGTGGCCTGCCACTGAGTGCCCTGTGCTGCCCCCACCCGCGCATTTTCCCCAAAGATACAGAAAGCTGGAGCCTTAAGGCATCAGGAAGAGCCTTGCTGCATCAGGAAACTGTCTGAAAGCTTTTAAAGTTATCAAGCCTCAACCCTGGAAGGAGTTCATTTCTGTGCAAATTAAAGAATAATCTAAATATTTTAAGTTAAATCAAGTTTGAGGGCTCAGCCTTTGCACTGAGCCCCATTCCCTTCAAACCAGATGTAATCCCAACAGTTGGTAGTTGGAAGTAGGGATGATCAGGGGTTCAAATCCAACCCGGGTTACATAAGACCTTTTCTCAATTAAAAAAATATGCTAAGGAGGCTGGAGAGATGGCTCAGAGGTTAAGAGCACTGGCTGCTCTTCCAGAGGTCCTGAGTTCAATTCCCAGCAACCACATGGTGGCTCATAACCATCTGTAATGAGATCTGGTGCCCTCTTTTGGTGTGCAGGCATGCAGGCATGCAGGCAGAACACTGTGTACAAATGAACAAAAAAAAATTTTTTTTTAATGCTAAGGAATTTCATATTTTAAAATACTTAGGTTCTTTTCTTTGGGCCTGCTCTTGAGTGGAATGAATACTGGACTAAGCCGGCTTAGGCCTTGCTGTAGTACTTACCTTTCTGGGGATGTGACCTACTTCCTACAAAGCTTGGGTGTCCTCTTCATAAAATGTGGGGGTTGGTTTTGATTTGAGTTAATCAGAATCAAAATAATGGAAACTCCTGGGAGGAAGGACACCATCTGGCTTGTCCGTGCGCGGCAACAGCGTCTGCCTGCAGCAGGTGCCCTGGAAAAACACCGGGTAGAGTAAAGCATTGTGTTTGTAACTTTGTGCCGGTGTGTAGAATAAGTACGTGTTCCTGGGAGTCACCTGTGTGTACCTCCAGGTGTCTGCCTAGAGTTTTTACTTTCTAAATTGTATTTTTAACGAATTTTATGTGTATTGGTGTTTTGTCTATGTACCATGTGTGTGCAGTGCCTTCAGAGGGCAGAAGAGGGATTCCCTGGAACTGGAGTTAGAGATGGTTATGAGTCACCATATGGGTTCCGGGAATTGAACCTGAGTCCTCTGGAAGAGCAGCCAGTGCTCTTAACCACTAAGCCATCTCTCCAACCCCCACCTTTTGGGGCAGGTGTTTGAGACAGGGTCTCTTCTGTGGAGCCCTGGCTGTCCTAGAACTCAAAAGCTCTGTAAACCAGGCTGGCCTTGAACTCAGAGATCTGATTGCTTCCAGGAGTGCCTGGATTAAAGGTATTCAACATCACTGTCCAGCCACCTTTATTTTTAAGGCAAGGACTTTTGCTGAACCTGGAACATATCAATTCAGGTAGGCTGGCTGGCCAATAAACTTGAAGGATCTCTTTTCCTCTCTGCTTGGTCCCCCACAGAGTTACGGGTATGTGCAGACAAGCCAGGTTTTGAGGTGGGTGCGGGTGATCAGAATTTAAGCCATTACGCTTGTGCAGCAGGCATCTTACTAACCAAACCATCTCCCTAGCCACGGTTTTTAAAATTATAGTACTGGTTACTAGAGATGTAATTATCATACCTAAAAGTTTAACAAATCTGTAGATTTTGAGTGGCTGTGGGTAGGTCCTTCAGGAGTTTAATACTGTGCTGGGTGAGAAGTTCGCTTAAAGTCCTTGCTATTTTGTGAAGCTTTCCAATCAAGGACCTTCTGAATGACAAGATTTGAGTCAAAAAAGAAAGTCAAGATCTCAAATAGCCACAGTTTGAACGAGATGAGGTTTTATGCAGTTTGTTTTATGTAGGAATGTGTTTGGATGACCTTCTTCTGAAAGCCTTTTGTACAGGATTGTTTCCACCACACCTTTACTTCCTACTTATTGTTGAACTCGGTCTGTGGATTTTTCCCCTACTTGGAAGGCAGCCAGCCTCCTCCAGAGTTTTCCAGAATTATCTGGTGTTCTTTATAGCTCATCTCCTTGGGAAGAAATTAATTCACTCCAAATGCCAGCCTTGCTTAAAAGATGTGTGAGTGAGCAACCATGTAGCAGGGGCGGCCCAGGAGTTTAACTCTTGCTGTGGGCAAATGATGTGACGGGGTGTTAAAAGAAATCCAGTGAAAACCAGCCTGCTGACCATTATCCTCTCTTGTGAGACTCTTTCAGATGTTCATTTGTAAGAGGAAATCTCATGGATGAAACAGACATCATAATTTTAGAGTGGTTTTCCTTAGAGTATGCTATTGTGGAATAATCTTTTTGTACACTGTGAAGATATATCACTCTGATTGGTTTAATTAAAAACTGAATAGTCAATAGTTAGGCAGGATTTCCTGGCACAGAAGACGCTGGGAAGAAGGGTGGAGTCGGGCGGAGACGCAGAGGAAGCAGGACATGTAGGAGATGAGGTAACAAGCCACGAGCCATGTGGCAGCATGTAAATGGGTTAATTTAAGTTATAAGAGCTAGTTAGAAACAAGTCTAAGCTATTGGCCAAGCTTTCATAATTAACAGTAAGTCTCCATGTCGTGATTTGGGAGCTGGCTGGCGGGACAGAGAAAGACTAGCTGCACTATGCTGTTGGTTTCCAAGAGAGTAAGAAACACCACACTAGGGTTTTGGTTTGGGCTTAGCTTCGTTTACCGAAAAGAGAATACTTGTGATCCAGGTGTGACACACAGCTGTGATTCCAGTACTCAGGAGGTGGAGGCAGGAAGATCAAGTGCTGTTCGTTATTAAATACGATGGCTGCCCCTTTCAGCAATTGCTGTCCTAATCAGCAGTTGCAACTCTGCAGCTACCAGCCTGCGCAGTTTGGCCACAAGGGCCGAAGCTGGCGGGAATTCTGTTCCCTCGGGCACCAGCTCTCTTAAGGCTACCGAGGGAAATTTTATCTAGAGCTCTATCCCGACATAGAACTCAGGATTCAAAGGTTGAGGTGAAATTCTGCTTGCTAAGTAGCTCACCTCTCCTTGCTCACGTCTCCCCAATTAGCCAAGGAACCTTCCGCTCCCTCACCACCACTTAAGAACCCTAGCCACTCGTGGTTCCTCCTTACCACTTCCTGTCAGCCTGTCGCTGACTCAGCCTCCTGACCACAGGTGAATTTTATCAAGCCAAAGTAGCACATCTTTGCATTGTTAACAAAAGCAGTAGTTTAAAAAAAAAATGTAACACACCTTAAAATAATATTCCACAACAATCAAGAGTTCAGGGCCGTCCATTCTCAATTCCATTCAAGGCTAGCCTGGTCTACATGAGACACCGCTCTGAAAACAGGACAAGAGGGTGTGGTGATGTCTGCCTCTAATCCTAGTATTTGAGAGGTTGCAGAAGCAGGCAGATCAATGTGGGTTCAAGGCCGAAAAATAAAAAAGTAAACCAAATCTAAAACAAACAAGGTGCCTGGGACTCCATAAAATTTTGAAATATTTCAATGGCAAAGAAGATCTGAAACAAAATAACAAAGGTTAACAACAGCAACAACAAAAACGGGAAACAAAAGTGTTCTGTAGTAGTGAATTTGCTTGCCCTTTGCCCTCGGTTCTGGCCAACAGCCTCAGTCTTGGGAATTTCCTGAGTATTGGAGTGTCGCTGTTACTGGAGGTGGGGGCCATACCTTTGTTTATGCCAATGAAGCATGGTATTCTGGGCCGCTAGTTTCAGAATAGACTTTTCTCTGTACCCAAGAGACCAACCTTATGAATGGACCCATCAGCCTGATCCCCTGGAGGTGGAGGTCATTCATTCATATGACCAGTGAATCAGTCGTGCCCACACTATGAAAACCCGTTAAAACCCTGATGTTTAGGCTTGCATGAGCTACCCTGGTTAGGTAAGTCTACTGTGTCAGAGGGTGATGTGTCCCGGAGTCTTTGAACTCTCCACACCTTCCTCTGTGCTTTATTTGTCTGACTCTGATTCGTGCCCTTTGCTATAAAATTGTAATCAAGTATGACACCTTCCTGAGTGTTAGCTAATTATCAAAGATGAAGGAGTCACAGAGACAGCTTTATAACAGACTGGACAGAGGATGCCAGCAAAGCTTGAGGCTAGGAGAGAGTGCCCTACACTGGTGAAACCTAACTGGGTACTATTTGGTTTGCTTTGTAAAATACCATCTCCAGAAATCTGAACTTTGGGTTTGGCTGGTAGACACGTGAAGGCTGAGGTATTTAGTTGGGTGGTTTATTTGTTTGCTCATTTGTTTTATGCATTAAAAACTGCTTGTGGGGTTGGGGATTTAGCTCAGTGGTAGAGCACTTGCCTAGCAAGCTCAAGGCCCTGGATTCCGTCCTCAGCTCCGGGGGTGGGGGGTTGGGAGGGTGGACACAAGGCTTGTGTGTGGAAGATACCCTCCCTGTAAGATAGGATTTCACCACTATATAGCCCTGTCTGGCCTGATACTCACCACGTTAACCAGCCTGGCTTTGAGTGTTTTTGATTTTGTTTCTTAAGACAGGATCTCTTATAAAAGTACTTTTTTTTTTGAGGGGGGGGAGGAGGTGTAGATTGAGACAGGGTTTCTCTGTGTAGCCCTAGCTGTCCTGGACTCTATAGAGCAAGTCAGCCTCAGAACTTAGAGATCCACCTGCCTCTGCCTCCCAAACACTGAGATCAAAGGTGTGCGCCACCACCAACCAGCTTATAAAAGTACTTTTTAAAGACAGAAAACAGGTAATATCTTCCTAGGGTTGTGGATGTTCATGGACAGTGGCTGAATCAAAGTTGCCAATGACCTTGGCACTCTAAGCCTTCACGGCTTGGCTTTCTCTTCTTGTGAGTCTGAACATAAAGGAGCTCCTAGATGTAGTTAGTACAAATACCCCGGATCACCTAGGCCTCTGTGGGCTACATGGAAAAGGCTGGAACGAGAGCTTGGGGTCAGCCAGTGCTTCTCTGTTTGATCATTTGCTTTTCTTAGCTTGTTGAATTTTGTTGTTGTTTTTCTTCTCGGTGACAGAGCAGTCACCCAGGGCCCTTGAGCTGCAGACGAGAGCTCACAGTGGTAGAAGGAAGTGGTTCTCTCTTCCTTTCTCGTGTCGTAAGCCATCTTGTAGAAGCCTGGCTTCTTAGTCTGTGGTTCGTGTCTTAATATGCTTTTGAGAAGTTTCTTCTGTGTTTTTAAGCAGTGTATTTCTTCCTCAGCCAGTTTCCTCAGAGTTCCCCCCGCCCCCCAATTCAAACCATCTGTTGTTTGTTTCTGTAGTCCTCTATTGTTCTGTAATGCTTTCAAGAGTTTCTTCTGCTGAGTCCTTCGGGACCAGAAGGATTTTTTGCGCCTCAAGTGAGTGCTCTTGAAAGCGAGCCATTGTTAGTCCCCAAAGTAGACATTTATGAGGTCCATGTTTATCCTTTTTCAAGGAGGTATATTATATTCACAAATGAAAACCTATTCAGGTTTTTATTGTTGCCAGATAGAGTTTGTCACATGAGGATCGGTGACCTGGGGACACTGGCGTGTGCATTAGTCTAGTCTCCTTACTGCCTTCGAAGCATCGTCTTCTGCCCAGCTCCTCTCCCCAGCTGTTGACTGTAGATCCATGTCCTGCTCAGCCGGCCCACGTGGTTGTGAATGGGAGCAGCTCTCATTCAGGGGTGACACTGTGGGAGTGGGCTCCTTCCTTCATGGGACCTTGCTGTCAGCTTCTGTCCTCCGAGGTTGCCCTAAGGAGAGTCTCCCATCCATCAGCTCAACATGGGCCCCACGAAAGAGGGAAGGTCCGGCTCCGGGCTGAGTTTGCAAGCTTCTTTCTCCAAGCCACACCCACCTTCCTAGTGTTCCCCTGGCAGACAGGCTCAGGAGCACCTTGTCCAGTCAGCCCATCCCATTGCCCTGTCTTCAAGGGACTCTAGAGAACCACTCATCAGCAGTGGTCAGTGAGAAAGGTCAAGCCATAGTTTCCTAACAGATTGAAATCCAGACGTTCTGACCAGCTTTGATGGGAGCAAAGAGTGACCATTGTGAACCCCTCATGGAGCTAAAGGGTAGGCCCCGCCCCTCAAAGCTGGAGTGTGGCCAGGCCCTGCATTACAGGGGAGAAAAAAGCCCAAGATCAGCCAAAATCCCACCAATCCCTGAGCTTGCCCCAAGATCAGGCCCCAGAATAACTCCAATCCCAGGCTACCCTGGAAAGCTCCCCCACCCACCACCCACCCACCACCCAAAAAACCCTCTATGAAGCCTGCCTTCTGCTCACTTCTGCTCAGTTCTCTGCTGCTTCTCTTAGGAGCAGAGGCAGCCACCCTCCTGGGTTCTTCCCTCCCAATAAATCTCGTGTGAGGTTTGTTATGCTCTGTGACTTTGTGGTATTCCTTGGGTCCCGACTGCCAGGAAACCTTTCTCCTCTTAGCTGTAACACTCACACAAATGCCTGAAGTAATCAGGGCTTCTTTGTTTACAATCCTTGTATTTATTTACAAAGGGAAAGGTATTTGAAAACATGCATGTGGAGCTAGGGTGATGGCTGGGTGTTAGGGTTGCTTGCTGCTCTGGCAGAGGATCCAGGTTTGGTTCCCAGCACCCAGGCGGTAACTGCCCACTGCCTCTAACTTCAGCTCCAAGGAATGTGACACCCTCTTCTATGGGTACCCTCATCCACATGTGTAAATAATATAGTAGCAGCAGCAGCAGTATAAATTCTTTAAAAATAATGTATTACCTTCAAAAATAGAACAAAAAGGAACATATATGTCATTTGCATCTGAAAGTAAAGGATGCAGGTGCTATGGGAGGTTGAAGGCAAAGAGAGTCCGCGTGTTACAGGTACGTGTGGAGGTCCACTCAAGGAGCTCTGAAGCAGCCAGGAGACCCTGGGAATGCAAGCAGCAATTGGGAGCTTGTGACTTCTAAAGTCCCCAGGTCTGCGTTTCTAGGTCTGGGGAAAAAAAAAAAATGCTGGGTGTCCGTGGCAGCTTTTCCTCTCAGGTTTCTTCACTGGCAGAAGCTCGCCTCCAGCCTCTGTATAGCCTGGGTTTTGCAAGCGCGGTCTTAAGAAGTGCTTGAGCTGTGGTCAGCTGGCCCCAGTGGGCAGTGTTCGTATCTTCTCCTCACTGGTTCAAAGAAATGATGACTGGTTTCTTAGAAAAGTTCTGGTTAAACACACACACACACACACACACACACACACACACACACACACACACACACACAAACATGCATATGGAGAGAGGGCTCAGAGGTTAAGAGCACTCTTGCTCTTACGGAGGACCCTGGTTTGATTCCCAGCAGCCACATGATGGCTTACAACCATCCAAACCCCAGTTCCCAGGGATCCAATAGGCATGCATGTGGTGTACATACATGCATGCGGGCAAAACATTCATACATGTAAAGTAAAATAAATCTAAAAAAAAATTTTTAAAGGCATCACCTCCTTTATAGTCACTAAATGCAGTGCTCTGACCTTGGGTGGCAGCTGTTCCCTGGCCCTGTGAGCTTTGTTCACAGAAGCAGAGTTCCTGCTCACAGTGGAAAGTGAATTAACCAACTCTAGTGGGCGACCCTGCTTTTCTCTGCTGCGCTAGTTCAGCCTCTCAAGAGCCCAGTTTTCTGCTTCTGCTCCTTATAAAGACCACTTAACTTCTTGCCACATGCCTAGGACTGACTCTTACGACTGGAATTTGGACACACAGCATGCCACTGACTTGTGACACCCAATGCCTAAAAGACATTTAATGCAAGACAATGTAGTTGTGTTAGTTACGTGAACTGCTTTCTCTCGGTTTTTAGGTATATATCTTTACAACGGGCACCCAATAAGGCGAGTGGATATCATGGGAACTGTCATTAGCGTGAGAGAAAAGGATGCTTTCTACAGCTATGGAGGTAAGAGCAGTCACCTCAGAAACTGCGTTTGCACAGATAGTCCCCACTCCGCTGAAAGGTGAAGTTTTAGCGGCCCTCACGTTTTCGAGCAGCTGGGGCCTCACCAAACCGAGCGCTCTGTTAAAGTCCCGTGTCTGGAGGAAGTAAATGAGGCCACAGGTAAAAATGATACTGGTGATGCTGAGAGGTGCCTGCTGCTGGGGAGGGAGGAGGTGGAAGAATGGAAATGCTGCGGTGTCGGGTCACCGATGGTCAGAGAAGACACCCAACACCCGTGACACCGCTGTGCAGGGCCAAGGACAGAACGTGCGTATCGAGACCCCTTTGAAAAGAGGCCCAGTAAATGTAAAAACTGACCTGTTTGAAAGAGTGCAAAAATCATTTTTAAAGATTTATATCCAGAACAGTCAGGGAAGAGGAAAAAAACAACCCTTTTTGTTACTCAAGATATAAATATCTGTTATCAGACTTGCCTGTTCCTCGTCATGAACTAATACAGAGCCTTTGTCTTTTGGACACCAACAAATTGCTAGAATGTGCTTTAGTATAGTAGGTCTTGCTTTGGTGTGTGTGTGGGGACATTAATGTAAGTATCTCTTTCTAAAAGATTTTATTTTTAATTGTGTGTGTGTGTGTGTGTGTGTGTATGTGTATGTGTGTGTGCGCGTGTGCGTGGTTGTGTGCTTGTGAGTCAAGGTGCCTCAGGAGGCAAGAAGAGGGTGTCAGATTCCCCGGAGTTGGAGCTGTAAGCAGCTGTGAGCCACCAAGTGTGGGTGCTGGGAACTGGAACCCAACTCTGCTCCCTGGGAGAGCAGCAAGGGATCCTAACTCCTGAGCCATCTCTTGAACCCCAGAGCAAGCGCCCTAATTTGTTACATTCTCACATTAGCTGGACAACCGAGATTCTCAGACCTGAGAGGCCATGGTAGATGTTTGGAGGGAGTGGGATTTGAGGTGCAGACCTTTGCTCTGATTGACGTCATCGCCTTTTGTGGCATTTCCTGCGGACTGTTCTCTTGATGTAGTACATGGGGAATAAATAGTAGGAGCTGCATTTGTGTCCTAGAACGTTTGATTGACACTGTCAGTGTCGTTCGTCTCTCCAACATTCCAGCATGTGCCTGTTTGCCTGAAGGTGAGTGTCCCTGTGCTTAGAAAAGGGCACGTTTGAGATGAAATCTCCCCCTCGGCAAGCTCCCCCCCACCGTGTGTGTGTGTGTGTGTGTGTGTGTGTGTGTGTGTGTATTTTAAATGTTGCCAGGCATCCCTCTCCTGACTCTCTGCTTTATTTTACCAAAGATGTTGGTCCTGTTTTTCTCCAGGACGGCTCAGCAAGCGGGTGCTAAGCACCTATGGTATACCCAGCTGTGGGCAAGTGCATTGTCTGTAGTACAATACAGCCCTGCTCTCCAAGTCCCAGAGATGACGACATAATCATGTCTTTCAGCTACAAAGCACTTTTTACACTCATCATTTCATATTATTCTCCTTGTTTTGTTTAGAAATAGGAAGGACAAGTATTTCTATTTTGCGGCTGAGAAAAACTATGACTCACTTAACTTTCTGAGGTTCAGTTGGGAGAGGCTTATGAGCCCATTTGATGGGTAACTGGCCCCAGTGTGCACTATTGTCTGCATAAAGATCACATGGCTTTTCTCTCCTGCATCCCCTTCTCTCTGGGCTCCCCTGATCCCAGTCATCCGGAGTCGATGTTTTCAGATCAAATATACAAGACTGTTGGGGATTTCAGTTCTGGCCTGAGAATTGGGTCTGATTTAGGCTTGTGACATAAAGGGACTTCACTTAGCTCACTTCCCCACCATGGAAACATTTAAGGAGATATGTTTGGCTCTTCCCTAAGAAGCCTTTCCCTCCAAATGGGTGTCGTGAGAGCATGCCATGTCTGTGGGCTGCAGGAAAACAGCAATGTGGAAGTAATTAAGAGCGGAAAGGCTTTTGCACTCGGTTCTTGTGTGGCCAGTTGAAGCAGAGTCGCTTTTTCCTGCTGTCTACAGGCCCAGCACGGCTTTCCTGTGCCCCTCTGACTCACGGCGGGTCTGTCCTGTGGTGTTTCTGGCCACACTGACTCATCCTGGTCTCACACTGGGGAAGGATGTGGTGTGCCTTTGTAATGATTCTCCTCTTCTTGGGCACTCAGCAGCAGGCCTCAGGAACCGTGCTGCATGGGAGGTGACAGACCAGAGAAGTGGGCTTTGGTGGCAGTGCCCGCAGTGCACAGAGTCCCTGGCAGCAACTGGAGCTCTGAGGTGGCTCTCAAGAGGCTCAAGTTAGACCAGGATAACCTCACATCCCCTAGAACAAATGTTCACTCATTTGCTATTAGTCCTGCTTCTAATATAAACAAACGCTTTGAGCCAGCTGCAGGGGCTCCTGCTGGTAATCCCAGCACTCATGCAGCTGAGGCAAAGGATTACTGCAAGCTGGAGGTCAGCCAGGGCTGCATAATGAGTCCAAGCCAGCTACAGAGTAAGACCCTGTCTCTTTCTGTTTTTGAAATTTATCTGACAGTTAATGTTCACATTGAATGTAGGTGTCTTCCCTCATACTTCAAAAGATTCTGCTACTAGCATTTAATGTCTTAAAATCATTTCTATTGAAATATACTATTTAGTTTTTATGTATGTTAGATTTTTAAGGTATAGGGATTTGTATTTTACTGTAAGGCTTGTGTATCTTTCAACAGTGAGGACCTAGGTCTTCATTATAACCCATTAATCTCATATACTATGTTGTTACAATTTATTTAACCAACTACACACTTATAAATGTTGTTTATATTTATGTTGTTCCTAATTTCAACGTTATAAGCACTACTTCAGTGAGCAATATTATTCAAGATGTAGACATCTGTGCACTTGTTATGTCTTTCTCTGCCGAATAATTTACTAGAAGTAATTGCCAAGTCAAAGGGTGTGTGCATTTAAAAATCTGATGCATGCTTCCAATCTTGCTGTTTAGAAATGAGCTGCTGATTTATACCCCCACTCCAGGCCAATGAGGGTATCATTATTTGTTTTTGTTTTGGGGATTGAACCCAGGGCCTCATGCATGCTAGGCAAGTGCTATACAACTGAGCCATATCCTCACCCTGATTATCAGTGTTTTTAACTGTCAATCTAGCAGTTGAGGAATTATTTAAACTTGATTTTCCATGGCAGTTAGTGGATTTAGCATACTGGCATTTATTTATGTGCCATGTATACATTTTCCATGCATTGCACATCCCTTTTCTTTGGTGCTGCTTCTCTGTGGTTTTGGTGTTTTTCTCACTAGTTTGTAGGAACTCCTTATATATTAAAGCAGTAACATGTATTGGAAAAGTTGCCATCTGCTATTGGTTTTAGGTCAGCAAATGTATCAAGCTTTGTTTAATGAGTTACAGTTTTCAGATTCTGCTTTAGAAAGTCTTTTTCCTCCAATTCTAAATCCAGAGCTAAAAGATGCTCACCATATCCCTTTCTCACATCATTCACCTATTTTATGTTAAAAAAATGAACTTATTTCACTATAAAGGACAGTTTAACCTTCTGTCTACAGAGATTTAAGCCAACAATAAAACATTTCCCCTTATATTCTGTATGCATGGGCCTTTACAACAGTCTGCTTATTTTGCTTTGTTTTAATTATGAGGTCCACTACTCTGTGCTTAGCAACCTATGTTTGGAGTTTGTCAGAATTCAGGCAGAGAAGATCCTGTCTTCCCTCAGCAAAAATCTCCAAGTTCCTCTCCAGTCACAAGTCCTAGTCTCATGGGAATTGTTTGATTTTTTTTTTTTTCCCCTTTTGGCACTATAAATAAAATAAGCCAGACTAGTTCTATTTTTGTGGCCAGGGTATAGTTCTTTTCTGATGTAAAACCGAAGCTGGGTTCTAGGGGAGCTGTGATTGACATGCAGAGAGGAGGACTGGGCAGAAGCCTCTCCACAGAGAAGCCCCTGAGTCAGGTGATGCGGACCACTTTGCTTGGGCAATGAGCGAGCCAGTGAAAGTGGAGGCGATGGAAGGCTGAACCCAGAGTGCCAGTTCCTCTGACCACAGAGCACGGGTCCTTTCTTGTCAGAGAGAGAGAAGAGAGGCAGGTTATGGATGTGGGCACCCACTGAGGTTCTTTCACACCTAACTTCCTGAGGATGCACTGTTACCAGACCAGATAAGACTCATCGCTACCATTGAGGTAGGGTGGGGAAATGTTGAAAGCGTCCATTGCACTCATGTGCTATATGCTTACAGGTAAGCAGTTCATACTGGTGTGTAGTGAAAGGTTGCTTCTGAAGACAGAGGGAGAGTTGTTTTTGTTTTGCTTTTTCTTTTCTTTTTATTAACTAAATGTTTTCATTTATTTTACATCCCAACAGCACTTTTCCCTCCCTCCTCTCCTCTCGCTTCTCACCCCTTCCCCCCTCCCCCCCACCCTGCTCCCCACTCCTGTCTCCCCTCTGCCCCCCCATCCACTCAGAGGGAGAGTTTTTTAAGGGAGTTGCTCCACTAAGCTGTTGAAACGGTCCTCTTTCAGTCTGACTGAGTGTTGGTCAGCATGCCCAAGTCTCCCACCTACCCATTGATGCTTCTCTTTCAGTGGATGATGCCACTGGGGTTATCAACTGCACCTGCTGGAAAAAGGGGAGCAATACTGAGTCTTCGCCAGGTAATTCTATTTGCCACATTCCTTTGATTTTCTGACAAACAAAGAATTTTGCTCAAGGTAGCTCATCAAACAACTGTCAGAGTGTTTTCACATTAAGCTGATGCTGGGTTGCTTTGGTGGCCCTGACACACTGTCCCCAGAGCTTTGGCTGGTGGTTGCATTGGAGGCCCTGACACACTGTCCCCAGAGCTTTGGCTGGTGGTTGCATTGGTGACCCTGACACACTGCACCCAAAGCTCTGCTGCTCTGGAACCTGATGCCATAGCAGGGAAGGGCTTCTCTCCTACCTGCTTGCTCATAACTTTCTCCTAAGCATAGAGAATGAGAAAGGATTCCTGAAAATTTCCACAGTACAAATTTTACCTCGATGATTATTTTGCAAGTCAAGATATTGTAGCCTAATGGACCATCAGGTCAGAATCCTTGACCAAAGATTTTGAAGATTGTTCCTCCGACAAGGTTTCCACTAATGTCTCTGCTGCCATGATGCAGATTTTCTAAAAACTATCATGTTCAAACAAGCAGGAATCCAAAGCTTGTGAGGGTAGAATTCCTTTGGAAGTTAGCCATTAAGTAACATAAATCTTAAAATTGTACTTTGAACACAGTGACTAACTGAAGCATTTGGAATTACATGAATATATTTCAATGGTGGTGGTGGTGGTGGTGGTGGTGGTGGTGGTGGTGGTGGTGGTGGTGTGTGCATGTGATTGTTTTGGTATGTGTGTTTGTGTTGCTAGGGATAAAATCTAGGGCCTTAAACATGCTGGGCAAGTGTTCTACCTTGGATTTACAGCCCCCAGCCCTCTTGGGTAATTTTTTAAGGTTTGTTTAATTTATTTTATGTGTATGGGTATTTTACCTGTATGTATATCTGTATAGCACACACATGCAGTGCCTACAGAGGTCAGAAGAGTTTGTTGGATCCTCTGGGACTAAAGTTACAAAGGATTGTAAGCTGCCATGTTGGTGCTTGGAACCCAACCAGGGTCCTCTGCAAGAGCAGAAAGTACTCTTAACCACTGAGACATGTGTCCAGCCCCTTAAATAACTCTTAAAGTTCTCTTGCAGAGAACTCAGGTTCCGTTCCCAGCACCCATGTGGTGACTCTCAGCCATCCATAACTCCAGTTCCAGGGCATCCAAAGCCCTCATCTGATTTCCCCATGCACCAGGTATGTGTGTGGTACATACAAATGCACACAGGCAAAACATTAGTACACATAACAAAAGTTTAAAAAAAAAATTGTTTTCAAGACAAGGTTTCTCTATGTAGCCCTAGCTGTCCTGGAACTCCCTATGTAGACCCTGCTGCCTTGAACCTGGAGATCCTCCTGCCTCTGCCTCTTAAGTGCTGAGATTAAAGGTGTGCACAACCACCGCCCGGCATAAAATTAATTTTTAAAAAATTAAATTCAGTTCATAATAACTGAAAGGGTATTATGCAATGTTAGCAATCATTTCAGGCTCTGAGAAGTCACAGATTCTGGGACTCTCTTTTGTTCTGTTTGTAACATACAGGAGATAACAGCATCCACGTGGGCTTGTCAGGTCTCTCACTCCAGTATCTAACCTCCGGTTCTGTTGGTCTGTGATCTGTGTTGTGCAGGAATGTCTTGTGTTTATGAGATTTCCTCTTTGTTTTTGCCGTCATGTGTCAGACTCCCAGCTTGCCTCTGGCTGTATTGACCAATGGCATGCTCATTTGTTTAGTTTCCCAATGTACTTAGATTTAGAAATTAGCTAGTTTTGTGTAACTTTAGCATTCCTACTCCTAATTTGAGAACATCTCCAAGGCCATGGCTCTGCTTTGCTTGGAGGCATTAGAGGTAGACTTAAGGCAAGAAATAAGCCTGTATGACAACCAGATATTGGGATTCTTATACAGTTCAGATTACTAATCTTAGTCTGTGGTTATGTAACAACTTTTCCAATTGCTGTGACAAAATACCTTACAAAAGGAACTTGGGTGTGGGGCATGGGTCCCCTGTGTAGCCCAGGCTGGCCTAAACTCACTGTACAGGCTAGCCTTAAACTCATAGAGATCCACTTGCCTCTGCCTTCTGATTGCTAGGATTAAGTGCAAGTGCCACCATGCATAGTAAAAGGAACTTAAGGGCTGTTATGTTTCAGCTCACAGTTTGGCAGGGATGGCATGGAGGCAGGTGAGTGATGTACCTGGTCACACTACATCCGCAGGAAGCAGAGGAAGATGGATGCTGCTGTCCACTCACTTTCTCCTTTTTGTTCATCTTCAGTTGGGGATCACAGCCTGGGGGAAAATAGAGCTCACACTCAGGGTGGATTTCTTCTTTGATTACACCTTTCTGGAGACATCCTTGTAGATACACCCAGAGTGTGTTTCTATGGGGATTCTAAAGCCAGCCCAGTTGACAATTGTTGTAGAATATTATTCAAGGTGTGTTATTTTTGTTTGTGCTCTGGAATATTTGTTTGATGATGCAAAGATGTGTTTTATTAAATAAAATTCAAGGACTGGAGAGATGGCTCAGTGGTTAAGAGCACTAACTACTCTTCCAGAGGTCCTGAGTTCAATTCCCAGCACCCATATGGCAGCTCACAACTGTCTGTAACTCCAGTTCCAGGGGATCTGACACCTTCATACCAATGCACATAAAATAAAAGTTAAATAGATGATTTTTTTTTTTAAATTCATCTGCAGTCAGGAGGCTGAGTCAGCAACTAGCTGACAGGGAGTGATAAGAAGGAGCCAGGTAAGAAAGGGTTTATAAGGAGAGGTGAGGAGAGGAGACGCATGAGGGCTTTTTGGAGGATGTGAGCAAGGAGAGGAGGTGAGCTACTTGTAATTTAGCCTCTCTGAAGAGTAGAATTCCACCTCAACCTTTGAATCTTGAGTTCTTTAGCGGGAGGGAGGTCTAGTGAAGTTTCCTTCGTAGCTTTGCGAGAGTTGGAGCGGAGGGAACAGATTCCCCCCAGCTACAGCCCTTGCGGCCTGACCCCTGCTGATAGTGGTGGAGCTGCAGTTGCTGATTCAGAGGGCTGTGGCTTAAAAGGCAGCAACCGGTTAAAAAAAAGACAACAGTTGGCGCCCAGTGTGGGGTGCCAGAATGTTTTGGAGGTTTTTGCTCTTTCCTTGGGGGTCCCACCACCCAGCTCTCAAATCACCCATAGAGGCTTATTCTTCCTTTTGAATGCCCGGCCTTAGCTTGGCTCCCTTCTTGCCAGCTTTCCTTAACCTAAATTATCCCCATCTACCTTTTGCCCCTGGACTTTTCTTGTTCTCTTATTTCTGTAAGTCTTATTCTTACTCCATGACTTTCTGGTTGTGTAGCCGGGTAGCTGGCCCCTGATGGCCTCCTCCTCCTCTGGCTGCTCCATCTTAGCTCTCTCCTCCCAGTTTTCTCCTATATATATTCTCTGCTCGCCAGCTCCACCTATCCTTTCTCCTGCCTTGCTATTGGCCAGTTCTTTATTAAACCATGAGGTGTTTTACACAGGCACAGTAACACAGCTTCACAGAGTTAAACAAATGCAACATAAACAAAAGTAACACACCTTAAAATATTCTACTACAGATAATGAAGATTAGCCATTGCAGTGCTGTTACACAGAATGCTCAGGCAGGTAATTTATTACAATTTGTTTCTCAGTCCTGGAGGTTGGAAATCCAAGATTAAGCATGGAAGGGTCTCATGCCTGGTAGAGGCCAGTCTCCACCTCCAAGATGGCTCCTTGAATGTTGCCCCCTCTGGGATGTTCCCCCCATGGCAAAAGAGCAAAAAGAAAGACGTCCCTTGCAGAGCTTGCAGTAGCATTGACTCATCCACACTGTCCTTGTCCTCTAAGTACCTCCCGTTCAGTCCCACCTCCTAATACTTTAGTATTGTTGTTATGGTCTGAATGAATGTCTCTCAAAGGTCCCTGTAAATGCTTAGTCCCCAGGGTTGGCAGAAATGGAAAATATTGTAGACATATAAGAGACAGGAACTAATGCGAGGTCCTAGGTCATTAGGGACATGCCTTCAAAGGGGATTATGGTACCCTACCCTAGTCTCTTCTTGCTTCCTGGCTCAGTATTTGACTTTCACTCTGACACACACTCTGCTATGACATGCATCTGTCATCACACACTGTAGAGATGGCCTGACCTTGGACTGGAACACCTAGAACTATGAGCCAAAAACCAGCTCTTTATTCCATAAGTAGTCTGAATCAGTGTTTCATTACTGTGATGGAATGCTGACTAGTACAGTTTGGGATATAGTTTCTAACACATGAAACTTGAAGGGTAGAAAATCATTCAAATCACAGAAGCATTATAAGTCATTTGCAGATTTATAGCTTTACTCACAATCTTTAATCAGAAGGTGCAGTTTGTCTAGCCACACCTGAATTAAATGGAGGGTGAGCAACCTTTTTCTATTAAGGGACAGAGGGTAAATATTTTCTGTTTTGTAGACATGATCTGCCTCACCTCCTCGACACTGCCATTTTAGCACAAAGTGGCCATGGATGAATGAGGCATGGCTCTGTCCCAGTGAAACTCTTAACAGGCTATAGATTGATTTGGTCTGTGGTTTAGATACTGTTTTTGTTTTCTAAATTAACTTTTTGAGGGGACATGGTCTCACTATATAGCTCTGGCTGACCTCAGACTCACACTGGACCCTCTGGCTCCCCAGTGCTGGGATCAAAGGCGTGTGCCACCACATCCAGATCAATTCACTCATTTTAAAGAAGTGGCATGATCAGGAACACTATGTAATTCCTGTACTTAGTAACAGTGATGTTTTAGATCAGCAGAATGGCTGTTCCTGAACACACCAAGAGGAGGATGTTTAAAGTTGGAAAGCTGTTGAACCACTGAGCAATTACAGGATGTCTTCATTTAGAACAAGTGTAAAGAGAATGGTAAATGTATCAGGAGGAAGCCTAGGAAGGTTCTCGTCATGTTACACATGAAGAGGTATTTTTAAATTGCTCCCAACTCACTCATTCTCTCCTTTTAATGTAATTGCCCCAAGTTTAAAAGCTTTCCATTGGAAGGTGGCCAAAAAAGACAATTTTTTAAAAACAAAATTTAATTTGAGTCAAAATTATGTTCCAGTCAGTTAAATAAAGAATATAATGTGAGCTTCTGTGAATGTTACATTGAATGTACCATTTGTACTTAGCTTATGAGCAAAGTTAAGAAAGCTTGGTCCTCACTGTTAGCATGTTGTCTTCAGGATGGAATAGATTCCTAAAACGAAGTTCTGTCAGGCTCCAGCCGTCTCGTTACATTCATTAAATTACACGCTAGAGTCTTCTTTCATCAATTTGGCTCACTCTTTACATGAAAGCTGGGTCTCTCTTCTCAGATCTGCTGTTGGCCTCATAATGTCAGTGATGCTGCCAGAGCTTTTTATTATCCCTGTGATGTCTGCACAGTGGCAGTGAAGTTTATAAATACCTGTAAATGTCAGATTGAGGAGAAGAGGGCCTGGAGATAGGAACATGGAGAGCAGCCTTTTAAAAGGCGATTCTTGTGTTTCTTTAGAGGAAACCCAGTGAGCTAAGCAGCCATATTGCTTGGCATCTAGTTTCCGAGGTGCCGGCTGCCGCATGCGCAGTTCTTTGTGCTCTCTGTGTTGTGGGCCTTGGTCCAGCACGTGTACTCTGGTGCTGCTTGCTACGTGTTACAAAACCATGACTGTGGAAACTGTGGTTGGTCAGAAAGCAGAAAATTCCATCAAAAGACCAAAGAGAGATCACTCCTCTATGGAAGGAAACTAGAGCACAGGAAATAAATCAGCATTTAACAAATACCTTTTCAGGTAGAGGATAATATCTGGGAAGAGTTGGCCATGCTTCCTATCCTGCAGCTCACATAAAGGAACCTGAAGAAGACATGTTGTGTAGCTATCTATCCCAGTGAACATGCGATGTTCTAGCAAGTCCAAGACACTGGATCACTGAAAACAGTCAGGAGCAACAAGAGAGTGGGTTCAAAAATCAGGATTCTTTTTAATACTCTTATGCAACAGAATATAAATAGAATATAAACAGAAATAAATGTTAAAATGCAGCAGTGGGCAGTGTATGTGATGAGCATGATGCACACGGTTTGCTTCAAGTTTATGAGACCAGTGGTGCAGCTTCATCTGCAACAAGACATACATGGAGTCTGCCGTCTTGTATAAACACAGCCAGCTCAGTGTCTGGGACAAACCAGTAACCCCAACGTTTGGGAGGTAGAGGCAGGAGGATTGGGAGTTCAAACTCACCCTTGCTAAATATCAAGTTCCAGACTAGACTAGGCTACATTAGACCCCAATAAACAAAACATCAAATATCATACATGGTTTCTTTTGCTGTTTGTTTTAATTTACTTAGTGGTTTTGTTTGGTTTTGTTTTTAGACAGGGTCTCTTGTAACCTACCTAGTCTTGAATTCACAGCATAGCTGAGACTGGCCTTGAACTCCTGATCCTCCACCTCCCTAGTGCTGGAGTCACACCAGACTCCACCACACCCACTTCCTCTTGCCAAAGAAAGCTTGACAGATTGGGCTTTGTTTTGGTTTTTTTCCAGGTTGCTATGACAGGTTAGTGAGGGAGCTGTGAGCACACATGCTTTGCTAATGTCATGTGTGAATGCAGAGTGAGGTTTTTCTGTCAAACATTGTACCAAGTGACAGGTTGTAAACTCAGTGAAAGTCCCCAAAGAAAAAAATTGTCTAGAGCACTCGGTCATTGATTGTCACAAATAGCACATGGTTGTCACTTCCTCTGTCCATGGTATGCAAAGTTGAGTCACGCATGACAGCCATGTGTGCGTGTGAGCATGTGAGCATGCGTGTGTGTGTGTGTGTGTGTGTGTGTGTGTGTGTGTGTGTGTGTGCGCGCGCGCGCGCGCGGGCAATAGTAAACTGCCCTTACCTTCGTCTCCTTGATTGATTCAGTTGAAGAGAGAGGGACTGGAGGGAGAAGCAGCATGCACAAGTTGGTGTCACAAGAGCTAAGGGTCCAGCTGACCTGCAAGTCGGGCTTCCGTGACTGCCGGTCTCCATGCTGAACCTGCCCTAGGCAGGGGATAAAAATCAGAATGGAAAGTCCTCAAAAGGGAAGAAGTATGCAGTTGTGTAACTGCCATATCAACATGACGGGATATTATATTGTATGGAAGACTGAGTTATTCTCAGCACTCCGAAGGCTGAAGCAGGGGTAGAGGGTTCAGGGCCATCTGGGGTTACATAGCAAGACCACCTCTCAAAAACCAAAGCAATAACAAAATGCTGAGCTGTGTAGCTTCGGATATATTGGAATTACAATAGGCAGACTAGAGCACTGGGTCTTTACTTAGCCATTCTGAATACAGAAAATGGCCATATCCTCTGAGGCAGGCAGCAGAGAGTGTAGTATACCACAGAGTCTCCGCAGTCAGGCACTGCAGAACAGCCTGCAACCTTGTTAACCAGCTGTTTTATTTTGGACAAGTTGCTTGACTTCTCTGTGACACAAGTTTCTCATCTCTGAAATGGAGCTAGCAGAAGGGAGCAGCTGTAAGGTTTTGATGTGCTGGTACATTAGAAAGTCCATAGAAGAACACCTGCACACCACACGGTCAGGGTGTGCTGGTACATTAGAAAGTCCATAGAAGAACACCTGT